AGAAATATAATCTCAATTGTAGATTTTGTTTTTGTTCTTTTTTCTTCGCCTTTTTTATTTCATTGTATACGGGGTGTATATTATTGAAATTTCACATTCCCATTTACAAAGTACGATTGAAAAAGTTTCTTTTTCCCATTATCATATCGAACATGAATATCGTGACTACGGTTCGGGGATTATAATAATTTAATAAATATTCAGATTCAGACAAACAACGATAGTAGGATTTAATAATAAAGTTAAATATGCAAAAAAAAGTGAGAGACAGAGAGACAGACAAGAAGTCAAGAGAACCATAAAAATAATGTAAAAAAAAATTTGAAATAAATAAAATAGAAAAGCAGAAAAGAATGGAGAAATATAATCACTGCGAGAAAAAGGCGAAAATGTAATAATATACATGAAAAACTAAAAACAACAAAGCCATAAAATTAATTCTTCGTATATTTTTTTCAACTTCATTTTTATATGCTTTTTCTTCATAATTTTTATTACAACTTTTTTCTCCTTTTTTCCATCTGATAGTTACGTGTATAATGTGAATAGAATAATTCAGAAAATTAGAATTTTATAATTTTTAGGTATTATTATTTATTACTATATTATTATATTATTAGTGTTTCTAAGGATGTCAAATTGAGACAAAAAACGAATCAAATATGTTGCTTCGCAATACTTTTTATTCGTTTTTTGTCTCAATTTGATAATTGCAGAAAAACTGTGTATTATATTTATGTAATAAATATTATTGTATATATATTATAATTAAAAAATTATAAAATATAAAATTTTATGTGTTTGTAAATATGTGACGGCACTGAAGAAAGGTACCCAAGAAGCTAACAATTTTAGGTTATGTTTGTAATTTTTTAAAATAATATACTTCAAGGGGATCAACTCTCCATAAAAATGATTCTATATTTTCTTTACAAATATAAAAAATTCTATATTTTCTTTACAAATATAAAAAATTTTATATTTTCTTTATAAATATAAAAAAATATAATAATTTGATGTAAGATAACTAACCGAAAAGAAAGAAAAAGAAAATCTTAAAAAAATAAACAAATTGACGAAAGTTATATATATTGAACGATAAGGAAACAAAAGAAAACGAGATACTTTTGACCTTTTTTCCTTATAAATATATTTTTTCCAAAATACACACACGATCTGATGCTTTGTTAATGCGATCGAGAGTGATATATATCAAAAGTCCTGTACAATCTCACTTGAGCAACGAGGGGGATGGAAAACGTTCGTGTGAAGTTGATAGCACACGTTATTCTTTACGAATTTATCACTTTTCTTTACACTTTTTTTTCTTTTTTTTTCTTCTCCTTTTTCTTTTACTTTTCAAGTCCGGAAACGGTAGAAAGCAGTGTCTTTGCTTTCGATCAAAGGGGCGACTTTATGAGCGGGGCGTTTTTCACACACATACTCACATGCATCCTATATTTATAATATTCGATATAAATAAGGAAAAAATAAAATAAATTTTTTTATTTATAATAATTATATTATAAATATATTATATATAAAATTATATGAAAATTTATTAATTATTATATATTTATAATATTTAACAAAAAGATCTTAAATTCTTTCTGTTTGGATCAAATTATAAATTGATCTAAATTTTTGTTATAAATTTGATACACTTTGGTATAAATTTGATATTTTCAAAATAACCGTGTGTATATAATGAATAATTATAATTTATATTGTATATTTTCTATATTATTTACATTGTTATTTTACCTTAGTTATTTATTTATAAAAATTCCTTTTAGTTTTTTATAGCAGTCTTTATAGTTTTTAGTAGGTATTTATAAATTATATAATATAATAAAAATATTTCTTTTATGTGTAAGTGTGTATGTAAAAAAACCCTCACCTCTCTCGCACCCTACACATAAAAGTTTCAAGAATAGAGGGTGTGTTTCACTTTTTTCAGAAAATACAAAAGACACAAAAAGACGCATTTTCCTTTTACATTCACATACATATTTTTTATATAAGATATAAATAAGGTATATATATATATATAATATGTGTGTATATAAACGTCTTGTATAATAATTTTACAAAAGATGCCGGAAATCGTTTGAAGACATAGAAAATATGTCGCAAATCCATCATTTTTATATACATATATATATATATATATTACTCGATTGTCACTTTTATCAAATTGCTCGATCATTTTGATTGTGTAAAACACTTCCTTATTTCTTCGTTACATTTGCATAAAAGAATAATAACCTCACGCACGAAATATTTATCTTTATGCTCCGTGTGGGATATATTTATAGGTACCATTTTGAAAAAAAGCCTCAGGAAGAAAATTGACGAGGGGGGAAAAGAATATTATAGAAAAAAAAGAAAGAAAAATATTAGTGTAATTTAATTTTCATGGTTTGAAATTAAATAAACTGTTTTAATTATATATAACGATATATATTTGGGGAGGGAGGCCTAATGGAAGGTGTGTGATTTAATTACATTAATATTGACTTTTATTATTATTTTCTTTTGTTTTTTTTGTGATTTATTATACTTATACTGTCATAATTAATTTCTATAATACACGGAATTTTTGAAAAAATTTATTATTTTCTTTTACCTTTTGTTTACTATTTTTATTTTCTTTAATTTTTACCCTAGGTACTATTTATTTTTCTTAGCACTTTTATTTTTTTAAATATTTATTTCTTACTACTTTTATCTTTTTAAAATTTATTTTTTACTACTTTTATCTTTTTTGCTATTTTTATATTATTTAAACCTATTTTTATGAATTTTGTTTATTTTTTAAATAGTTTTTCTAATTTATTTTTAACAATAAACAGATTAATTAAATTTAAAGTTTTTTTTAAAAAAAGTTATTTGTAAAATTATAAACTGGGTTAATTAAAACATAAATTTACATTAAATCTGATTGAAAATTGGAATTCGTTACATTAGTAAAAGTTTCAATGATATCCGTAAATTCACGCAGTCAGTTAATAGTGAGAAGTATGTCGATAAAATTTATTTCAATTTTCAGAAACAATAAAACAAATAAAAAAAGTAAAAATAAACTGGTAAAAAAATTACTGTAAAGGGTAAAAATTTATGAAAATTAAAAGAGAAACAATAATAACAATAAAATAATAAAAAAAAATAACAGAAAAAGGAACAACAAAAAGGGGCCATTCAAGTATTACGTAAGCATATTTTTCAGGTTTTTAGACCCCCCCCTCCCCCATGTAAGATTTTTTATATGCATTAGCGCCATTTTTTCTAATGGAAATAAGCAATAGCTAGACCCCCCTCCCTCTTAAATGCTTACGTAATACTTGAATGGTCCCAAATGATAAAAACGACAAGAAAAATTATGGAAAAGAAAAAAATGAAAATAACAAAGTAACAACAAAAATAACAAAAGGTTAAAAATAAAAATTATAGAGCAACTATACAAAAATAACAAAAAAGTGAAAACTAATAATAAAGTAACAGGAAAAAAAACAATAAAAATAGCAACGAAAATAGCAAAAAGAACGAAGATAACGAAAATAAATAACAAAAAAGTAAAAGTAAAAAAAGAAACAGTAGAAATAATAAAAAATTAACAAAAAAAATAACAACAAAAGTAACAAAAGATTAAAAATACAGATTATAATGCAACTACGAAAATAACAAAAACGTAAGAACTAGGTAATAATAAAGTAACGACAAAAATAACAATAAAAATAACACTAGAAATAACAAAAAATTAACAACAAAAGTAACAAAAGAGTAACAATAAAGATTATAAAGCAACTACGAAAATAACAAAAAAGTAAGAACTAATAATAAAGTAACAGCAAAAATAACAACAAAAGTAACAAAAAATAACAATAAAAATGGTGACTGTACTAAAGTAACAGGAAAAATAAAAATAACAGTAGCAATAAAAAGAGCAACAGTATTAAAATAACAACAAATAAACAACAAAATAATGACAAAAATAACAATAAAAGTAACAATAAAAATAACAAACAAAGTAACAATAAAAAAGTAACAGTATAAATAACAGTAGCAATAAAAAGAACAGCAGTATTATAATAATAACAAAATTAACAACAAAAATAATAAAATTAACCACAAAAATAACATTCAAGTAACATTTTAATAAATGAAAGGAGAAGAAAAAGATGAAAAGAGAAAAAAGAAAAAGAATAAACGTAACATTAATTAATACAAAAGCAATATAAAATAAAAAATAACAAAAAATGGCAAAGCAAGTAACAAACAATAAAATAAATAAATAAACATATAAATAAATAAAATGACCATAAAAATAAACAATATTTGCTAATAAATCAATAAAATAGAATCAAGCAGAGTAACCAAAACAATGGTAATACAACATATACATAAAATATGTGTAAATGAAAACAAAGAGAACATCTACTTTTCATTGAGTTTTCCTCTGTGAGAAAAGTTCTATTTACCAACAAATGCACAGTATAGTGCTCGAGAAAATGAATTTAATCATATTTAATCAAGATTTTTCAATCAGTCAATAAACTACTATATCACAATGAGTCGTAATAATAGTAGAAAAAAAGAGAAGACTACTTTTATCCACATATATATAGAAATGCAAAGAATAATTTACACATTTCCTTGATCAAAAAGGAAGAAAAAAAATTGTAGAGAAGAAAAAGCATGGGTCAGGGTCTCTTTTTTTACCATTTACTTTTTTCCCTTGCAGAGCAACCGAGCCACCTGTTAATTACCAGCTTGCTTCCTACCACAATAGAGATACGCGCCAATATAAAAATTATTCCCTCGACTAGACTAATATATCATTTTTTTTGTCCTCTTTTCTTTTTCTCTCTTATCGCGAAAAAAAAATATTTTATGTCAAAAAATAGTGGAAAAAATATTTCCGAGAATAATTTACGAAGAAATAAAATGCAATTTCCCAAACAGTATAGAAGAATCAAAATATTATCTCTAGTACATACCTGTTGTGAAATCCAGGCAAAATTGTCACATTCGATTAACAGCCTTTTTTTTGCGTAGAAAAGCAGATAAATATCCACCTACGAAATTGACATATACGCGGATTGAAAAAAAGGGAAAAATTTTTCATTTATAATATGAAAATTTTTTTTTTCAAATTTCACAATTTTGGTCTCTTGTATATTTAAGGGGGGGTTGGGTTTAATTATAAATTTCCCATTTTATGGACAGTGGGTTTTTCTTAAATAGAAATGCGGCGGTATTTTTTTTTTTGGTATTTAAAAGAAAAAATAATAATAATTGAAAAAGAAAGTGACACACACGCGATACGTACGCGTCTCGGCGCCGCTCTGAAACGGACGTTGACGACGTCCCGGCCGAACAGGCTAGAGCAAGAGCAAAAGCACCCACTACCCCCTGCGTTGATCCTGTGTGTAGTCGCGCAGGCGTACGCTCAACACACTGATACAATACTTTTTCCCGAAAATAAAAAAAGGAAAATTGCACTCTCCTGCCTCACGTCAAACACTATAGCTCCAATCAACATTTAAGTTTTGTGTTTGGCACCAAAAAAGGAAGAGAATTTTGAAAAAAGAAGGTAAAATTTTTTTTTTAATTATTCCCAATGGGAAGTAAACGATTGGTTCAATAATGGGCCATGCTTGGCGAACTCCGTTCCATTATTGGAACATTAATGGCAACCATCATTGGACCACCAATGGTTTAAACTTGGGATGATCACGCTACTGCCAATGATCGGTAGCCAAGCATCGGGCCAATATTAGTTGCCAAGGAATTGCCAAGGAAACAAAATCGATTTTCAAAAGCTTGATTTTTTATTGGCAGCCAACAAAAAACAAAGGTTTTGAAAATTGATTTTTCTTAATTATTAATTAAAATTTATTTTTAAAAAATATATTTTTCAAAAAATTATTTTAAAAAAAATATATTTTTTAAAAATATATATTTTTTTAAATTAATAGAACATATTAATTTAATTTGTCACCTCTGGTAAAACAAAGATGGAAGACTGATAAATTCCCTCACTTTATATTTTACAGTGGAGGGATAACTGTGAATGTCTTTGCGAGAGAGGAGCAGGTACTTATATAGAGCCAGTGAGAAAGGTCACAAGCGAGAACAAATCACTAGCATGCACTCTGGCGGCGCTTGTCGGAACTGTTTTTCTGGCGCGCATGCATATCCTGACATTATCGACACAGCGCTTGGCAACCAACGTTGCGCCACTTCCGACAAGCGCCGCCAGAGTGCATGCTAGTGATTTGTTCTCGCTTGTGACCTTTCTCACTGGCTCTATATAAGTACCTGCTTCTCTCTCGCAAAGACATTCACAGTCATCCCTCCACTGTAAAATATAAAGTGAGGGAATTTATCAGTCTTTCATCTTTGTTTTACCAGAGGTGACAAATTAAATTAATATGTTCTATTAATTTAAAAAAATTTATATTTTTAAAATAAATTTTTGAAAAATATATTTTTTAAAAATAAATTTTAATTAATAATTAAAAAAAATCAATTTTCAAAACCTTGGTTTTTTGTTGGCTGCCAATAAAAAATCAAGCTTTTGAAAATCGATTTTGTCTCCTTGGCAATTCCTTGGCAACTAATATTGGCCCGATGCTTGGCTACCGATCATTGGCAGTAGCGTGATCATCCCAAGTTTAAACCATTGGTGGTCCAATGATGGTTGCCAATTGTTTTGCCAAGAAAAAACCATTGGGTACCAAGCATGGCCCATTATTGAACCAATCGTTAACATTGGCAACTTCCCGTTGGGTTATGAATTTGGTTTTTTAACATAAATAATTAAAATATATTGATTTTAACTACCATAAATTACCATAAACTACCATAAATTATCTTAAATTACCATTAACTACCACAGACTGCCATAAACTACCATTAATCGAAACTATTGTAAACTGACCATTATAAACTATTTAATTTTATTTATGAAATAAATAAAGAATAAACAAGAAAACACGTTCAGATTTTGCAAACTTGTGGAATTTAATTTACATTGGTTAAATGTTTTTACACGGGTCCGATTAAAGGGATAACGATGATGAGGTGAAGAGCATAGTGTCAAGATAAAGAGGAATGTGCATTTGTCTAACGAGAGAGAGAGAGAGTGAGAGAGCGGGGGTTTAACTTACGCTTCGCATTCTTGCACCCTCAAAATACACTCACACACTTCTAACCCGAGTGACACATGAAACGATTAATCATTGCCTCCTTGTGAGCACAAAAACAATAGCAAATTCTCATCTATATTGGGATAATTCTATTTTCCCACCAACTATACGATTTAGATATATAAATATATATATATAGTCAGAGAGAAGAGTTTACATCCTACTTTTCACCCCTCTAATGATAATGTCGAGAAAGAACACGTGTTATCATGGGCAATTGAAATAAAAACGGAGGAAAAGGAGAAAGAAAGTATTTTAGGGGTGATGACTGATGAAATATAATTGACCGCATTCTGTGTTAATAAAAAGGTTTGGAGAAATGAATTTCTCTTAAATTACTTTTGTTTTTAAAAAATAGGATTTAATTTAAAAATAATAATAAATAGATTTCATTTAAAGTTAAAAATACATGAAACAAAATTGTATTATTTTTTTCTGGGTATTTAAATAACAATGAAAAAGGTAAATCTGTTTCGATTTTATTCACAATACAATGAGTGAAAATGGAAATTCCAATTTGATACTGCACCTAATCCACCTATCTATCTATCTATCTATCTCTATATTTAGCTAATAAATCTCCTCTGAAATCTAGTTGGATTGAAAATTAATTAACTACATATACCCCCAATACACCCTTCTGTCTCTCAGTCTGAGTATACATAAGCACAATAAACACTTGGCGAGTTGCCAAAACCTTATTGCACGCGTTTAAACAGTAGAACTTAACGCAACAGGTTTATAAAATGCGTTAACATTTTATTGTACATGCCATGGGATGAAGGAGTGAGGAGGGTGGTTCATCCTCGACGTTTGATCTCCAATACCTTAAAACTTTTTTAATAAAACGATTTTAAAAAACTATCATTTTATTATACATCGACGGACTAATTTTTCGTTTTCTGTTTCAGATGCTGCTCATCGTGGGAAAATTATTTTATAATAATCATACGAAGTTAAATTCTGATATGAAGAAAACTCAACAAGGGATTTTTAGTGACAGTATTTTGGAAATGTGTAAAAAAAGGTAAACCACTAATTTTGTTTTGTTTCAGAAACAGCAGAGGACTCAACTTTATAGAAAAAGGGTTGTAATAAAGATAAATCGTAAAATTTACACAAGAATGAAACTCAATCGTATAATTGTGACGTGAAGAAGACTCAACGGTCAATTTTTACTGGCAGTATTTTGGTAAAGTATAAAAAAATAGATAACACTAATTTCCTTCCATTTTGTTTCAGAAGCAGCAGAAGACTCATCTTTAAAAAAGGTTTTTATATGTAAAGATAAATCGTAAAATTTATACAAGAATGAAACTCGGAAAATTGTGACATGAAGAAGACTCAACAGACAATTTTTACTGCTAACATTTTGGTTAAGTATAAAAAAAGGGAACAAACAATAATTTCCCTTTTTTTCCTGCTTCAGAAGCAGCAGAAGACTCATCTTTAAAAAAAGTGGTTTTTTAATAAAGATAAATCGTAAAATTTATACAAGAATGAAATCCTAGTTCTCAGGACTTCGTACGTGTCCTTCGTACCGAATTTAAGTTAAAGAAGATTACTTCCTAAATCGGAGACTAATCTTGTCCTTGGCCACTAAAAAAATTTTCTCCAAGGGCTTAATTATCATTCTTTTAAAGAGTATAGAAAAAAAGTCATAAAAACCTATTTTTAAAAATTGTGCAAAATAAAACGTAACTAATAAAACCACTATTTATATACTCAATAGAGAAAGATAGTGAAGGGAAAAAAGAGAAGCAAGAAACAAAAAAAGCCTATAATCCTACCACAATTCTAAATTTAATATCGTCAGTTTTCGTTTAATAATGGTTTCCATTTTCCAAGCGAGGCAATAGTACATATATAGTTCGCATAACACAGAAGGAAAGTATCCCGAGAAAAATCCGAACAATTTGCCTCAATGTTCAATTTCCAGGTTGAATAACGTACAGCAGGCATATATTTCTCCATATAAAGTACAAGTACTTCCGATTTCAACTTTGAAACATACTGAAATCGAGAAAGAGAGAGAGTGAGTGAGAGAAAGGGATGAGAATATCTAGTTTTATTTTTTGTCCCTCTTGGGATAAGTTGATAGGCGAACAAGTGGACCTCGAAAGTGGATTGTTCTTTTTTTTTACCGAGCACCTTTCTTTTTATACTTATTCACTATTTTTTTATATTGTAAACTTGAAGGGCAGAGTGCATCTTAATAACTATTTTATAACTATTTTATAATTTATTTTACAACTACTTTCATAATTATTTTTATAGGTACTATTCTGCAGTTAATAGTTATCATAAAACTAAGACACTAATTAATCAAGAAGGAAAAGTTAAAATTTTTGCGAATTTTTAATATTTGATTTTAAACGAAAGTACGTGATGGGATAAAATTAGAATCGAAGGAGATAACAGTAGAGAATCTCCTTGTAGAAATGTGTGTTAACCACGTGCCTGGATTCTTACGATCGCACTGGATTTACGTAAATTCACTTTATTTTATTCCTACAGATGCACACGGGAAGATTTTTTTTTTATATCCGAAACGTTTTCTTTAATTCCAACTTCAGTATCTTTTAGTATATATATAAAATTTTTGCATTCAATTCGATTAAACTTTTAGAAAGAGGAAAATTTTTTTTTCAACAGGTATTTCCCCTTGAAACATATGTTACAATTTATTTTATAATAAATGTAAATTTTTCTCCCCTTTTTTAAGACAGAAATAACTTTATTTTTTAGAGGAACAAAAATATACAGTTATTTTTATGGGTGTATTATTAAAAAAAAAAATAAATATACGATTGCCTCGACGAGTTTATAAGGAGTTTTGAAATAAATTCGCCATTTGAGGGGAAAAATATGGGTCACCTTTATATTCCAGGACGTTTACCAACATACCGGATCCACTTTCCAAGAGAACGATTGCCCTACGTTTCCCGTGATTTCGCGAGATTGCACCCTACATAGTGGCACCTGGCATTTCAAACGATATCGAGGATGGAGAGAAACTACCTCTTTTTCTCTCTCTCTCTCTCTCTCTCTCACTCTCGGTAGTCGCAATTGCTCGGGGCATCCCATGGCTCTCTTGCACTGAGATTTTCATCGACATTATGGACCCAAGAAACATCTTTGTGTATGTGCGAATATATATAACCAGATAAATACACATAAAGTG